TTTTTACAAATTTTATGTCCTTTAGGACATGCTAGTACTAATGTGTACTTTTATCTTGTGAGTAATTCTTAACTATTTCCTATTACCCAGCAACTAGCTCTAGCTCTCAATTCGATCCTATTGATACCTTTATTTAACTGTAGTATCTAGTAAGTAAAAATGAGTTCGTGATGTTACAAACATTTCGTTACAATAAGGGTCTGTTGGCCTGAACGGTACAACACCAAGCACGATCAATATTGTTTTAATTTGTTTTTATGTTAAATTGTTGAACGATATGTTAAATTATAAGGGTCCGTTGACCTTCTTTCTGATGTGTTTCAATGTTTTCGAGGCTTGTTGCCATCGCTGTTACTGTAAAATTTTTAACATTTTATTTCTATATAATTGCTGTCAAATTAAAAATTGTTGTTCCACTGTATTCGGCGAATGGGCCTATAGGCTTAGGCCTCTGTAAAATTTCCTTACAAGGAATTTTAACCCCTAGCGCCTTCCGTGCTTAACTTTAAACAGTCAACCATGAATTGTGAGTATAATTAGTGAATAAAATTGAATATTTTTTTTAAAGTAAAATTTGTGACTTGCTTCAATTTTAGCGTAGCATGGGATATATATAGCCCGTTCCCACTCTCCAATAGAAGGCACCAGAAATCAGAAAAAGCAATACCCGTGTTATCGAATATCATATGCTCGGTGTCGCATAATAAACAGAGATAGAGTGGGTCCAGCCGCTCACAATTTTTTTCTGGCAACCTTCTTTCGGTGGCATCTCAATTTTATAAATAAAGTACATAGAAACAATTCTGAACACACTAATTTAAATACTGTTTTATTTTGAAAAAAAGTAATGGAAGGTAAGAAGTTTTTTCATAGTTTTATCACTAATAATCGTAAATTTGATTCAATGTCCGATGATGTTCGAATTCGCAGTCCTGAAGGCGAAACTCGTTGTTTCCTTTTGAATCTAGTTTACTAAGCGCTTAGGTTAGTTATTTATTTATTTATTTTTTTTTGAAAAATGATTTCAATTTATTTGAAACTTTATTTTTTTTAAGGTACTGTCTATTCTCAATGTACTGAAATAAAAGCTCAGAGTGGAATACTTTCTCATTCCTTCTACTACTTTAGATACAGTACGCGTCAGCAGTGTTGGACAATCCCTGTGCCAGAAAACAGATTCATTAAACTAGACCAATTCAGTTGGTCCATGTACTCACAGGTATCTTAATTTTTTACGAATTTCTTTCAACAATTTTTTTGCACCAAAAATGTTTCCGATTGAATTTTACTAACCCTTTGAAGCAGAAATTTATTGATCATATTTTTTTATACTTTTTCCATGAATCACGGATGTCTTTCTCTGCGTTAAAGGTCAAATCTTCCAAACACGATTCACTTTCAAACAATGATTTTTAAAACGTACAGTTATTTAGATCTAAGAGACTATCATCTATCTGTCCTTACTGTGAGAGTAACGTTGGCCTACCTAATAAGTGCCCCTAAAAGAATGGCCAACAAATCTGCCCTAACAAGCCTGAATTGATAAATGTCAACACAGGTTGGCATTAGATAAAAAAAAAAAGTCTAAGAGAAAAAGTTATTCACCATTTAAATTTCTTTAACTTTCAAAATCAATCATTGATAAATTATTGAATATGAATGGAAAAAAAATTAAAATACATTTTTAATTTTATATTTTAGTACAAATATAATTTCGATAATATAACAGATTTTTTTAGTAATTGTTAAACTTCTGTTTATAATTATAAATACCAAAATATATTTTTGCTTATAATAGAGCGGTAGAAAAAAATACATAAAAGGGACACCGGTGTCCCGTTTGTGTCAAAGGGTTAAATGCAACCTTTGCTTTTTGTGTTCCTTTCCTATTTGTTAACATGTTTTTTTACGTTTTCATAAACAGAGTTGTAGTTATGCCTACCTCAAAATCCATGTAAATGATACAAATGAAACCTATACATTCTGTGGCAGTGATTCCTATTCGAAACTGAATCCCATTACTGCATTGACTGATGTTCAGATTGAGTTCTATTTTCAAGAATATAATGGAAATAGCAGGAGCCCAAGCTTCAGATTACAATATGATATAAGTAAGTATATAAAAGAATTACAGGGATGCAACGTACGCCTAAAACTGTAAAGATTGGTGATTAATAAAAAGCAAACTCTTTTAAAAGAGATTAAAAAAAACTAATTTTTTTTCTTGTATATTACTTCCGCTTTTTAACTCTTTCGGGTCGACTGTCACCAGGGGTGAAAGCGAGACGGAAAAGAGGAAAGGCTGGTAGTAAAACCATTTCAGTTATAGCTAGTTTTGGGGAGGAGTTTACTTATTCTTTTTCTAAATTTTTCAACAATATCTACTTTATCTTGGAAAAGAAGCAGTTTTATATATATGCCAGAATTATAAAAGAAATCTTGATAGTTACAGATATTTCATTTTTTTCGAAAAAAATGCTGGAATGAAATGTTTTACGTACCAGGTTTTTCTCTTTTCCGTCTTGCTATATAAGGGCTTTCACCCATGACTGTCACAAATACATGCCGGCATAAAACCGTATCAATCAAGGTAAAAAGATAAAACTGGTAATCAAAGTATTTCATTAGCAGTTTATTTGTGGGAGGAGTTATAATTGTCTGATTTATTTATTTCACCATTACTTTGTTCAAATTAAAACTATTTAGTTATAATTTGAATTAGCATTGATTATATATATGATTAAACTAACAATACTTAAAGTAAAAGCAAAGTAAGTCTGTCAAATTAGCAACGACTCCTTTTTAGTTACCGTTTTTTATTTAATTACAACTTGATTCTGATTTTGTACGAATGCTTTTCTGAATCAACCGTCCCCAAGGGGTTAAGCAAGAAAATTAAGAACTTATGTAATTGCGTTTATTTAGCTTCGAATTATAAAGATTCTTTAAGGAATAATTCAGGGCTCGAAAAACCGCCCGTCCGCCCGTTCTGGGCCGTCAAAAATTCCTAGCGGGCAACGAATTTCTCGAATCCGACGTCCGCGAGGACGGCCATTTTTCCGTTAATGTTCGTGATACATTTTCAATTTTTGTTATCTTACAATCTTTTTTGAAGGAGTAGATAAAGAAATTTTTTCTCAAGAATGGGTGTCATTAAAATTTAAGATACATAACATCGTTAAACACCAGAAAACTTCATTCCTCCGAGCCTAAGCTATTTATAAAGCCTAATGCCGCAAAATGACCCACAATACAGCAACATACTGCGCATGGTGGAATTGAATTTTTTCTGTCTAGGAGTACTGCAGTGGTTAAAAGGGGCTTTTCAGCAATGAACTTACAAAAAAA